TGATGATGATGATAACAACGATGATGATGATGATGGTGATGGTAACAATGATGATGATGATGATGATGATGGTGATGATGATGGTGATAACGACGACGACGATGATTTCGATGATGATGTTTGTTTTGGCGGGAGAGGACGAGGCGGTGCTGATAGTGATGAAGACAGCGTCTGTTTATTATTGTTATTATTATAATTTTTATTATTATCATAATTATTATTAATATTATTTTTATTATTAGTTTTCCTATTGTTGATGCTGATTGATGATAGCAAATTTTTTTTCGCGGGCTTGCCTCTAGCCCCCTCGTCAATCTGGAAAAAATAGTAATAATAATAACAATAATAATAATTATAATAATAATAATTATAATAATAATAATTTGAACTCTTTTATTATTGCAGAAGACATGAAATCAAGTCAAAATAGATAAAATGAAATAAAATAAAATAAAATAAAATAGAATGAATTAATATTGTAATAAATTGTTAATATTGTTATGCACGATCCTCCCTATAATAATAATAATAATAATAACAATAATAATAATAATAATAATAATAACAACAACAATAACAATAATAATAATAATACATTTACGAGTATCTACTCAACCAAGTAAGAAAGACCATTCCACGACATTGTCATAATTATTTATAGTAACAATAATAATAATAATAATAATAATAATAATAATAATAATAATAATAATAACAATAATAATAATAATAATCACTATCACCATTATGACCATCACCACCATCATCAACATTATTTTCACTCACTGTGGTCTTCCAATTTAACGTTATAAACTGACAACGCTGCTCTCCTCTACTATTTTGCAGAATCATGATACTACTACTACTACTACTACTACTACTACCACTACCACTACCACTACTACTACCACTAATATTTTTCCTACTACTACAACTATTAATGTTTGAACGTGTATTTATTGCGGTGTCCTGTGTAGTAACGGTAGCAGCTGCAGAATCTGCGGTAGTATTTTTAGCCACAGTTTTAAAAGTAGTACTTGTAGTATTAGAAGTTGTAGTAGTAGTAGTAGTAGTAGTTGAAGCAGCAGCAGTACTAGTAGTAGCAGTTGTAGTGTTGACTGAATTGTTTCCAAAGGCTTTTTTCAGTAATACTGTAAAATGTGTAAAAAAAATGATAGATTGAAGTGTCTCCCTTATCATCATCATCATCATAATCATCATCATCATAGCTATCATTACCATCACTACCAACACTGCTATCATCAGTATCATTATCATCATCGTCGTCTTGTCATCAACCAGATTAATGTAGCGTCACATTTGCTCAAGTGGGTTTTATTAATATTGTGATACCAGTAGGCAAACAACAACAATAATCCTTCACATAGCATTAATAATAGCATTAATAATAATAATAAAATTATTATTAATGCTATTATTAGTAGTTGTATTTCTACTATTATGAGTATTATTATTATTATTATTATTATTATTATTTCTAAAAAACTTCAAAATCGTTGATCGATAAGATGTTCCTTAGTTCCCTATCTAATCCAATTCTATAAATCAAACTTTTCAGAAAACGCTTTTGCTGAATGATACGTAGTTATATAGTATTTTGTTGTAGAATTGAATTCATTCTTTCGTTCATTCGTTTGTTCGTTCGTTCATTCATTCATTCATTCATTTATTCATTCATTCATTCATTCATTCATTCATTCATTCATTCATTCATTCACTCATTCACTCATTCATTCATTCATTAAACTATCCAACGCTACTAAACTAAGTGAATTGACCCAAAACATACCGACACGCATGCTATATTATATAGAACACGGATCATCATCGTCGTCGTCATCATCATCAATACTTACTCATCCTATTGATATTTAAAATAGGTGATGATGACGACGCAATAAGCTGTCGTCTGTCCAAAGAAACTAAATAAGGATCGGAATCTCTGACGTCATAGGCATGAATCGTTCCGGAGATCTGAATTTAAAATTTCATTCCTACGTTAAGAATCTGGAAGTTAATTGCTAGCATGTTAAACATAAAAATACATACACACACAGAGATCACACACATACGCACTCACACACAAACACACACGCACACACAAGCAAACAAGCACGCACAAACACACATACTCCGTCGGTGATATAAAGAACTCTTAATTGGTTATCGTAGGTCGAAAATACTTGATGATCACGTGACGATGACGATGATGATGATGGTGATGATGGTGATGATGATGTCGATAATGGAGATATAAGCTCTCTTTTCAGTAATGTAAAAGAGTTGCGTTTCTGTTCAAAAGTAAAAAAATATGTAATCATCATCATCATCGTCGTCATTGTCGTCATCATCATCGTCGTCTTCACCATCATAAATGCAAATATTATTATCATCATCATTATCACAGTCACAACTATCATAATCATCATCACAATCGCAATCATCATCATAACCAACCAAACTCCATAATTCTAGAATGATCTGAAAGACAGAACGCATTTGCTGATTCTGTTGATGTTGTTGATGATGTTGTAG